ACTAGGTATGCCCCCCCCGAAAACCTTTGAGAGCTGCTGCCAGTCTGTGTGGACAGTACAGAGTTACATGGACCAGCTGTATTTGATTATGTAGAATAATAATAATAATAAATTTTATTTCTATCCCGCCCTCCCCAGCCGAAGCCGGGCTCAGGGCGGCTAACAATAAATTTCCTGTTTAAAATAACCACTTAAAATCATGAGGATTAGAACGGTTTGGAAACTTCAGCCGGTGCAGAATTCAGCGGCCAGGTTGCTCACCGGAGCAAGACTGTTTGAGCATATTGCACCAATCGTGGTCCAACTGCACTGGCTGCCAATTAATTTCCGGGCCCAATCCAAAGTGCTGGTTTTGACCTATGAAGCCTTAAATGGCTCAGGACTGCAATACTTCAAGGACTCCCTCTTTCCATATGAACCCACCTGGACCTTGAGATCATCTTCTGAGACCCTCTTTCATGTGCCTCCTCCTCAAGAGGTCAAGAGGGCGGCAGCACGAGAACAGGGCCTTCTCTGCAGTGGCTCCCCATTCATGGAATGCTCTCCCCAGGGAGGTTCGCCTGGTGCCTTCATTATACACCTTTAGGCGCCAGGCAAAAATGTTCCTTTTTAACCAGGCCCTTGGTTGATCTGTTTGACATCCTATAATAATAAATAAAATGTGTTTTGTTTTCTTTTATGGGGGGGTTATTGGGTTGTTAGGGACACGAGTGGCGCTGTGGGTTAAACCACAGAGCCTAGGAGGTCGGCAGTTCGAATCCCCACGACAGAGTGAGCTCCCGTTGCTCGGTCCCTGCTCCTGCCAATCTAACAGTTCAAAAGCACGTCAAAGTGCAAGTAGATCAATAGGTACCGCTCTGGCGGGAAGGTAAACGGTGTTTCTGTGCGCTGCTCTGGTTCACCAGAAGCAGCTTAGTCCTGCTGGCCACATGACCTGGAAGCTGTCTGCGGACAAACGCCGACTCCCTCGGCCTATAGAGCGAGATGAGCGCACAACCCCAGAGTCATCTGCAACTGGACCTAATGGTCAGGGGTCCCTTTACCTTTACCTATTGGGTTGTTGTTTTTATTTTGATTATGTATTTTGTGGTTTTACATTTTTATTTTATTCTGTGAACCGCCCTGAGACCTCTGGGTATAGGACGGTATATAAATTCAATAATAATAATAACCGCCTCACTTTGTTTGGGGAACGGCTGTAGCTCTGTAACACATTTCTGCACTCAGAAGGTCCCGAGTTCAGTTCCCGGCATCTCTGGTACGGCTGGCCATGTCCCGAGTCTGAAATCCTGGGGAGCTGCTGCCAGTCAGTGTAGGCAATATTGAGGTAGATGGCGTCCTGTCTTCTTTTCCTCCAGGTTCTTGGCCAATTCTTGCATTGCAGGTGGTTGGGGAAAATGACCCTGGCGGTCCCTTCCAACTCTACAATTCTATGATTCTTTAATATGCCAATATTGTGAATGATCTACTATAGATTTTCTTTAAAAAAATTCTCATCTGGAATATTTCTGATCTTAAAAGTTCTGACTGTTTCTTCCTGCTGAGTTTGCTGGGTCTTTCCCTGCCGTTGACTCTGGAGAAGGCCTGGCGCCCTCTTCAGGCACTATAATTCACTCATCGTAACCTCGCATCATACAAGTAAAGCCCAAAGATTCCTGGCGATCACAGTTTGTGAAGGGTGCTGGGATAAACTACAGTTCCCAGGATTCCTTGGGGGGGGGGGGAGATGTACTTTAAATGTGTTTTTAAGAGCCTCTAATGCTTTTCAGAGTGAAGGACAGCTCACTTGGTAGAGCATGAGGCTCTTGTTCTCAGGGCCACGGGTTCGAGCCCATGTCGGGCAAGATTCCTGCACTGGAGGGGGCTGGACTGGATGACCCTCAGGGTCCCTTCCAGCTCTATGTTTCTGTGATTCCACATCTTGAGGCAAAAAGTTTCATAGGCTATGTGCTCTGCAAAGAAAGGCATCACCTTTGTTTGGGTCTGAGTCTTCTGTCAACCCATTTCACTGGGGGGTGGACTGAGTTCAGGCTACATGTCATAAAACATAATTTTCTATGTTCTCAATTTGATCCTTTTACGTGGTTTTGTAAGTATTGTGGTATTTTATGTATTGTGACTTGCCGTTATTTTTACTGATCATAGTTCAGTAATTATTTATTGTAATTGCTAAGAGTGAATTTCTGTTTAATTGTTATTTGCTGTTGTTTTGAGAGTCCAGTTCATTGTGTGCTATTATATTCTAATAGATTAATTGAATATTACTAATAATTGAATACAGTGGTACCTCGGGTTACATACGCTTCAGGTTACAGACTCCGCTAACCCAGAAGTAGTGCTTCAGGTTAAGAACTTTGCTTCAGGATGAGAACAGAAATCGTGCTCTGGCGGCGCAGCAGCAGCAGCAGCAGCAGCAGGAGGCCCTGTTAGCTAAAGTGGTGCTTCAGGTTAAGAACAGTTTCAGGTTAAGTACGGACCTCCGGAATGAATAAAATACTTAACCAGAGGTACCACTGTATTACTTTATTTGATATGTCATCCCAATTTCAAGTTATGTTTTATCATGACATTTTGTATTGGATCAGGTTACTATAAGGCGTGTGTTCTTTGTTGTCTGTTTTGCTGTTGTAAAGTGAAACGAAATGTCAAAAAGCGATAAAAAGTACTAAGTGCACATTGAAAAGGGAAACGGCCCCCTGCCATCGCCCTGCCAAACAGGTGGCGCAGGTTTCTGTGGCGCTCTTTGCAAGCCTACTGGACCTGTTGATGCAAGAAATGGGCAGAGAAATGGTCACAAATCCTCTTTTCCGAGCCCGATTCAGGCCTCTTCAGAGCATCATCTCTGATCCTGGCGACGTGGGACCTGGAAAATCCCAGGGGCTGCATGGCATCAGGAGCCCAGACGGCCTGTCCTGCCAAAGTCAACAATCCCTTCCCCGCAAAATTAGAGGCTGGCTCCCATTTCCCCCCAACAGAGCTCTGTGGCGGAAGAAGCCGCCCACGGAAAGCAGGCCTGGCCGCTGACCCTTCCGTCTGGGTCGGACGCTCACCGGCTTCTCTCCCACGCTGGGTAGAAAGGCTGTTTTGGGCACTGCCTTCAGATGGCAGCACACGAAAGCTTATACCAAGAACAAACGTAGTTGGTCTCTCTCTCTCTTTTTTTATTAAAGATTTTATTGATTTACAAAAGTGTGTGCAATGTCTCTCTCTCATATTTTTTCTTTTCCATGTAACATTTTTACAAATCAGTTTCATTTGTTTAGACATTAGGAAGAAAGGGGGGGAGATGGGGGGGTCGGGTGGCGATGTTTCTATTTTATTTAATATATGTGGGGTTTGGTGTCAGCATCGTTTGTGCAGGTTCTCTGCTGTTCACTTGTGTTCCTTTGGTGGTGAGAGAGGTTGGGGTTGGCCCAGGGTGTGGTTGTTTGCTTGTGATTGGCTGTGGTGATCTTTGTTTTCGTGTGTGAGTGAGGTGGGTGGGTGTTTTGGATCAGCTTAGCCATATTGATTTGTATGCTGTTGGTGGATTTTTGTCGTTGTCTTGTTGGGCTGTGTGTGTGATAAAGGGGAGCCATACCGGGGTGAAGGCGTCTTCTTCTGTTTGTCCCCGTGTCAGTTTCAGTTTATTAGTTAATTTTTCTAGTAGGGCTGTTTCCCATACTATTTGGTACCATTGGTCCATGCTTACTCCTGACAGGTCTCTCCAGTGTCTGGTTATGGTGTTTCTGGCTGCTGAAAATAGGTGGGTTATGAGTTCTTTGTGGTGTAAATGGGCATTATTGTCTTGGAAAATGTTTAGTAGGGCCAATTCTGGGGTGATTTCTAATACTTGCTTGGTTATTTTACATATTTCTCGTATGGTTGTTGTCCAGAATAGTTGGATTTTGGGGCACTCCCCCCACATGTGGAGGTATGTGCCTGTGGAGTTGCACCCTCTCCAGCATTTTGGTGAGGTTCCTGGGCGTATTAGCGCTAGTTTTCCCATAGGTGGTCTCTAAGGTGCTACTGGACAGGGTGTATATATATATATATATACTGTGTCAGACCAACACGGCTACCACCTGAATCTATGCATCTGGCTGGCAGGCTCTTGCCCTGTTTCAAGGAGAGGAAAAGGCAGAATCATAGAATTGTGGAGTTGGAAGGGACCCTGAGGGTCATCTAGTCCAGCCCCTGCAAAGCAGGAATCTTTTCCCCAACGTGGTTTGCCGTCCGGTTAAGAGGTCTGCCAGCTGCTTCGGACCAGCGTTGCCCTGGGCCTTGGGTGCCAGTGGCTGATTCTCAGCCTAACTTTCTTCACAGGGTTGTTGTTTCTTTAGGCATTTTTTAATTTTCACCCCCCCCCCCAAGGAACAAGGGTAACAGCTGGAGGAAATTAAAACAAAACTGTAAGAGGCAGGCAGAATGAGTGGCTGCACAGGTGTTGAAATGACAAAAAGTCCATAATATCAGCCTTGTTTTTGGTTACCAAGTCTAGTTCCAGGTTTGCCAGAAAATCATGGTGTAGGTCAATTTCAAGGCGCTAGTCCCTAAGCCGCGGAAGCGGCGAAGACGGCGCTGCGACGGGCGATCCGGACGGCGGCGATGGTTCCAGCGCCTCCATCCTCCGCTGCTGAAGCCCCCCGGCTCCCGCTCTCTGCTCTCCCTCCCCGCCGCAGTTGGCAAATTTCAAGGCGCAAGACCCTCAGGTGGGGGGAAGAAAATCAGAGCCGCGACGGGAATCTGGGTGCGGGTCAGGCAGCCCCCGCGCGAGCCCCCTTTCCGGGCTCGGGGCTCCGCTGCAGTTGACCGATTTCAAGGCGCTAGTCCCTTAGGCGCGCGAGCTGCGCAGGCGGCGCCGCGACGGGCGACCGGGGGGCGGCAGGATCGGACCACCCCTTCGAGGCGCCTCCCCGCTCTCGCTCTCGCTCTCTCGCCTCCGCCTCCCGAGCGCTGCCTGGACGGCGCACAGGGACCTTCTCCGTCTCTCGCTCTGGTCGCGGCCCCGATCCGGCCCCATGCCGGCGCCCCCGCCTTCCCCCTACGGGCCGCGCGCCCTGGGCGCCCTGCTGCTCTTCGGCACCGTCTCCGGCCTGATGGCCGTCCTGGCGTCCACGCTCATCTTCCAGATCCAGGCGGGCAGCCGGGCCGGGGCGGAGGGCGCGGCGGGTCTCCCCGAGGGGGCGCGCCGGGTGCTGCTGCCGCTGTCGGCGGTGCTGGCCTCGCTCTGCCTGGTGCTGAGCCTCAGCTGCCTCCTGCTCAGCCTCCTGCACGGCTACTGCGGCGCCGAGCGGTGCGCGCCCACGGGGGGCGCTCTGGGGCCCGACAGGTGCGTACTCCCAGGCCAAGAGGTGCGGGGCTCTCCTGGGGCGCGCGGGGGGGGGACATCGACCTGAAGTTTGCTTCTTTGGGCGGGAGGGGGCTCTTGAGCCATCTCAAAGAATAATAATAATAATAATATATTTATTATTTATACCCCGCGCATCTGGCTGGGCTTCCCCAGCCACACTGGGCGGCTTCCAACAAAATATTAAAATGCCGTAATGCATCAAACATTAAAGGCTTCCCTAAACAGGGTTGCCTTCAGATGTCTTCTAAAAGTCTGGTAGTTGTTGTTCTCTTTGACATCTGATGGGAGGGCGTTCCACAGGGCGGGCGCCACCACCGAGAAGGCCCTCTGCCTGGTTTCCTGTAACCTCACTTCTCGCAGTGAGGGAACCGCCAGAAGGCCCTTGGAGCTCGACCTCAGTATCCAGGATGGACGATGGGGGTGGAGACGCTCCTTCAGGTATACAGGACCGAGGCCATTCAGGGCTTTAAAGGTCAGCACCAAAACTTTGAATTGTGCTTGGAAATGTACTGGGAGCCAATGTAGGTCTTTCAGGATCAGTGTTATGTGGTCTCAGCGGCCGCTCCCAGTCACCAGTCTAGCTGCCACATTCTGGATTAATTGCAGTTTCCGGGTCACCTTCCAAGGCAGCCCCAGGGAGAGTGCATTGCAGTAGTTCAAGCGGGAGATAACCAGAGCATGCACCACTCTAGCAAGACAGTTCGCAGGCAGGTAGGGTCTCATCCTGCGTACCAGGTGGAGCTGGGAGACAGCTGCCTTGGACACAGATTTGACCTGCGCCTCCATGGACAGCTGTGAGTCCAAAATGACTCCCAGGCTGCGCACCTGCTACTTCAGGGGCACAGTTACCCCCCAAAGACCAGGGAGTCCCCCACACCAGCCCGCCTCCTGTCCCCCAAGAACAGTACTTCTGTCTTGTCAGGATTCAACCTCAATCTGTTGTTTTCCTATCCTGAGCTGGTTTGGAAGAAAAGCGAGATACAATCATAGAATGGCAGAGTTGGAAGGGACCACGAGGGTCATCTAGTCCAGCCCGCTGCAAGGCAGAACTCTTTGGCCCGCGTGGAGCTTGAACCCACAACCCTGAGATTAAGGGGTCTCGGGCTCTACCAGTATGTATGAGATATAAATGAAATCCGTCCACCCATCCAAGGAACTCGCCGTAATTAACTAGCCATGGGCTTCCGGGGTCTTGTAGCCCCCCGAGTTTATTCCAGAAGAAAGGCCTTCTTCTGAACACACGACCCAGAGGCTGGGGTCTGGCTCACCTTCGTCAAAGGTGGCTGTTCATGCCCCCACCTCTCCTTGCCCCTTGCAGCCCTCCTCCAAATCATTAACCAAAGGCATGTCCAAATTGTCTCCGAACACGAAAGAAACGACGGCATCCGCCATGCATTACATGCGTTAGCACGGCTCAGAAACGACACGCTGGGATGTCAGGAGGTCAGGGTTAAATTGCTGGAAGCAGAAGGTAGAGAGCAAGTTGGCTGAGCTGGTGCCACAACTGCAGGTGTTTAAGATTCAAGCGGGCATTGCCCTGGCACTTCCCTGAAGGTCATCATAAGGTCTAGAAACTTGGATTTCTAAACACGCACACATCCAGTCATAATGCCTAGACCCAGAAACATAGAATCATAGAATTGTAGAGTTGGAAGGGACCCTGAGGGCCATCTAGTCCAACCCCTGCAAGGCAGGAATATTTTGCCCAATGTGCGGCTCAAACCCATGACCCAGAGATTAAGAGTCTCATGCCAGATTAATTGTTATTTTTAAATTTACAAAATGTACGTACTGCTTGATTGTAAGCTAACCTCTGGTTCACAGGGATGTACAGCAATTCGTTGAAATTAACAGGTATTTTTATATATTCAAAGGATAAAAATCAATATAGATTCATAGCACTGTAGAGTTGGAACAGATCTCGAGGGTTATCTAGTCCAACCCCTGCAATGCAGGGATCTTTTTGCCCAACACGGGGCCCAAACTCACAGCCCTGGGATTAAGAGTCTCATGCACTACCGACTGAGCTGTCCTAGAAGCATGAGACACATCAGTGCATGTCCAACATCATGAGATCTAGATACTTGGTTTTTTAAACACACAGACACCCACAGTCATAGGGACTAGAAACTTTTCATGCATGTCAAGTGTCATGAAGTCTAGAAACATGTTTTAAACATATACACACACACACCTAAGTTCTACAAACTTCCATAGACCTTCTAAGTGCCCCTACTTTCCAGGGACAGTCCAGGACTTACAGAAGCCATTCCAGTTTCTGATTTGATCCTGGAATTTCCCGCTTCACCTTAGGACATTTCATCGGAGAAATGTTGGAGGGCTGGAGTTATATGACCCCCCTGCCCCGAGCCAAGGAGATAAGTAACTAGACAACCTTTAGAAGACATCTGAAGACAGTCCTGTAGAGGGAAGTTGTTTAATGTTTAATGTTTTATTATGTTTTTATATATGTTGGAACCCACACAGAGTGGTGGCAGCAACCCAGTTAGATGGGCAGGGTATAAATAATAAGATTATTATTATTATGCAATAGGATGCCCCTATTTTCATTGGTGAAATATTGGAGTGTATGCTTTCATGAATGTGGTGTAGTGTCATGAGGTCAGAAACATGGGTTTTTAAACACACATACACACAGGTCTAGAAACTTGCATGCACATCTTGTGTCACAACAAGGTCTAGAAACAAGGTTTAAACATTCACATCTCCATAGTGATAAATACTTGATTTAAAAGCCACACATACCCCAGATTCAAGCAGGCGTTGCCATGTCTATGATCAAAAGATCCAGAAACATTTATTTATTTTTTTAAAGCATTCGCTCACACAGCCAGATTCAAGCAAGCATTGCCCACACATTTTCACGCACGCTGTAAGGTCCAGAAGTTGAACCAGATTGAAGTGGGCAATGTCGAGTACTGTCAATAAGGCCTAAAAACTTAGGGATTTTTTGCCTTTTTTCTTAAGAAGAGCCATAGCTGGCGAACCATCATGTGGTCTAGAAACTTGGTTTTTTAAAAACAGCAACAACGCATTTGCAGGAAGGACAGATTTGACAGCCGCTGCTGCAATTTCTGTACTTAATCAGCCATTGCATGATGCTGGCTTTTACGTTACTCTGCAGAGTGCTGGGGCCCCCCATCCGCACCCATCCAAAAATTCCTGCCGTATGAGAAACTCTGCTCATTATCCCTCCAGCTCACGTCCGCCAACTTTTCCCACATTGCCGCTGTCATTCTGAATTACCACTTTGAGGTTTTCTTTTCTGAGATTCCCCCCTCCCCTCCATGCTTTCTCTCCCTGTTTCATTTTCCTTTTTTTCTCTCAGAGTTTTGCAAACAAAGTCTGTCCAGGCCTGCAGCGAACCCCCCTCCTTTTTTTCGGAAAGTAGGGGACGGTCAAAACAAAGCTCTCTCTATTCTTGGGGACAATGGCAGGCGAGGAAGGAGCAGGCAGGGCGTCCAATATTTTCTCTCTGTTCCCAAGACACCGTCCCTTTGCAACATTGCATTTTTTAAAAACACCATTCACGTGGGGGCATCTGTCGTCCCCCCCATCCTCATCTCCACAGTTACTGATTGAGGTGCAAATATTTGATTTATTCTTGGGGGACGCTGGGGGTTAACCTCATACTCCTTCCAGAAAAGAAACACCCCATGTCCTGAGGAAACACTTTTAGGACAAATATTTCTCGAAGCTTTAGCATGAGCCGGAGGGGAGTAAGGGGTCTTACTCAAAGGAGATGCGTTGAAATCAAGGAGCCAACGTTCGCCAGGCCTCTTGAGTTTGGCAGGTCTGCTCAGTGGTCTAAGAAGAGCACTGCCGGGTCAGAGGGAGGGAGAAGGAACGAGAGGCTACAAAGGATTTGGGAAGGGGCAACACACAGAGCACACCATGCATTAGAATCATAGGGAAGGGACTCCCAAGGGTTATCTAGTCCAACCCACTGCAATGCAGGAATCCCAGCTAAAGAACCCACTGCTTAGCTCGGTGCAGTGTGTAATCTCTTTGGGGCAGAGACCCCCACCCCCTACTTCGCTGATGTAACTCCCTAAAGCTCGAGGTGATATCACGGAGGCGTTGCATATAAATACATGAAAATGAATTAACCACAGGTTTCTGTTCCTTCCTCCTGCCGCAGGGGCGACTGGTTCCTCGTGCACAGCCGGAAGGTGCGTCACGTGGCTGTGGGCCTGTTTTGCTGCGGGGTCTCAGCCTACCTGGCAGGTGAGTTTGGCTCCTCCCCCTGCCCACTCCTTAGACTAGCTCTTGCCCGCCCTCTGCTGGTGAGACCAGTGCAAAAGTGCATTCAAAGAATTCAGGAACCCTAGAATTGGAAGGGACCCCGAGAGTCATCTAGTCCCACCCCCTGCAGTGCAGTAATAATAATAATAATAATAATAGTAATAATAATTGATTATTTGTACCCCGCCCATCTGGCTGGGTCTCCCCAGCCACTCTGGGCGGCTTCCAACAAAGATTAAAAATACATTAAAATGTCACACCTGGACAGTGCTGCCTTCTGATGTCTTCTAAAAGTCAGTTGGTTGTTTATTTCCTCGGGCGTTCCACAGGGCGGGCTGTACAATTTACTGTACAGACTTCTTTTTTATCACTGATGTATACAGTGGTACCTAGGGTTACATACGCTTCAGGTTACAGACTCCGTTAACCCAGAAATAGTACCTCGGGTTAAGAACTTTGTTTCAGGATGAGAACAGAAATCATGCTCTGGCGGTGCGGCGGCAGTCAAATGTTGTTAAAGCAAACCATGGTTTACTGTGCAAGCATTATCTTTTTTATATATATAAAAAAATCACTGCTGCAGATTTGTTGAAATGGGTTGCCATATTTTGAAGAGCAAAAAGAGGACACATTTGTCGACTTTAACTTTGGATCGCTATGACAGCTCTCATTTTACATACCCATGAAAAAGAGGTTGTGCCTAGGAAAAAGAGGATATATAGCAACCCTAGTTGAACAAACCGCAGTGGCCTCCTGTGCTGTCCAAACACAAGTCAAACCTGGTTAAAGCAAACCGTGGTTTACTGTGTAGGCATTCTCTTTTTTACCTGTATGAAAAACCACTGCTGTGGATTAAATTGCATCCTCTCCCCTTCGATTCCAGCTCTCTCCATGTACATGCTGGTGCAGTTTGAGACTGAAACCGGGATCACCAGCGCCTGCGTCCTTTCATCGGGCATCTTGGTCCTCTTCATCACTGTGACGCACGCCCTGATCCGCGCTGCCAAAGCCACGGGGCTCAGCCAGGGCGAGCTCTCACACACCCTCTACGAGAACGACTCGGCCCGTAGCGGGGAGCTGCCCGCTGCCCCCCTCAACAACACCAAGGGCATGCCTGCTCCCCGGCCACGCCCAGAGATCCACCGGGAGTTTTCCTACCCGCCGTTCCTTGAACAGAAGTCCCACCTCACCACACCGGCCAGCAGCAACGTCACCTCGTCAGGGAGCGCAGAGCTAACCCTGGAAAAGGATTGCTACAGCGCTCCTCGGATGCACCGGACCCTCTCGGTGGAGTCCGGCCTCCTGCAAACCCACGGGAAGCCATGGAACGGCGTCACACAGGAAATGAGGAATGTGCTCTCACGTAAAACGGCGGGCACGGGGAAAGATTCAACCTTGGTGTAGAAAACGTAGGTAACCCGTCTCTGCAGAGGTGTATGGGGAGCCAGCTGGTTCTCTGGAGGCCTCTCAGCTATTAAAGACGTTTACTCTTCCTTATTCCCGCAGCCTGGTTAATTGGCGGAACTCCCTGCCACAAGGTGGTGGCCGCTCACATATGAGGTTTTGAAACAACAACAACATTATTATTATTTGTAAACAACAACATTATTTGTACCCCACCCATCTGACTGGGTTGCCCCAGCCACTCTGGGCAGCTTCCAGCATATACAGAAACACAGACCACTTACAAACTTCCCTATACAGGGCTGCCTTCAGATGTCCCCTAAAAGTTGTATAGTTACTTATCTCCTTGACACCTGAAGGGTGTTCCACAGGGAGGGCACCACCACCAAGAAGGCCCTCTGCCTGGTTTCCTGTAACCTCACTTCTTGCAGTGAGGGAACCACCAGAAGGCCCTCGGCGCTGGACCGGGCTGAACGATGGGGGTGGAGACGCTCCTTCAGGCATACAGGGATGAGGCTGTTTAAGGTTTTAAAGGTCAGCACCAACACTTTGAATTGTGCTTGGAAACGTACTGGGAGCCAATGTAGATCCTTTAAGGACCAGTGTTATATGATCCTGGCAGGTGCTCCCAGTCACCAGTCTGGCTTCCGCATTCTAGATTAGTTGTTGTTTCCGATTCACCTTCCAAGGTGGCCCCACGGAGAATGCATTGCAGTAGTACAAGCGGGAGATAACCAGGGCATGCCCCACTCTGGAGAGACAGGGAGCAGGCAGGTAGAGTCTCAGATGGAGCTGGCAGACAGCTGCCTTGGACGTAGAATTGACCTGCGCCTCCATGGACAGCTGTGAGTCCAAAATGACTCCCAGGCTGTGCCCCTGGTCCTTCAGGGGCACAGTTGCCCCATTCAGGACCAGGGAGTCCCCCACCCCTGTTCACCCCCTGTCCCCCAGAAACAGAACTTCTGCCTTGTTAGGATTCAACCTCAAGCTGTTAACCACCATCCATCCTCCAACCGCCTCCAGGCATGTGAAAGGGGATTAGGGAGTCTGGTGAGGGCAGACGCATTGCATCTTATGCATGATTACACTTGTGCAATTCCTACCTTTTGTGGTTGAGGGCAGGCTGGTTGAAATTGCGCGGGTTAAATCCAAACAAGGTGGAGAGTTTAAAAGCTTATTGCACTTGGACTGCATGGGCTCTGGGAGTATGGCGTGTTCTCCCCCCCCTCCATACACAATTTCCCTTGCACCCGAACCCCCACATAAGATGCGATCTTACTGTATCAGCAAGCCACTAGTAATGGAACCTCCAGCTACAGAGGCTGGAAAGCAGCGTCCAAATTAGCTGTGATTCCCACATTGCAGGGGTTGGACTAGATGACCCATGGGCCCCCTTCCAAATGCACAACTCTATGATTCTACAGATTTGCTCCCAAGTAATCCCAGGCATCGCCGGCACCTGCTCAGAAAGACTCCCTGCCTGAAACTCTGGGGATCTGCTGCCAATCAGTGTAGACCGTGCTGAGTTACATGGGCCAATGGTTCCACCTGGTTTACGGCACCTTCCCAGGCTCTGATTTTAAGTCAGAATCATGAGCAGTGCTTTCTTTCAGGGGGTCCTCAAGAGTAGGTAGTACCGGCACCTCCTTTGTTGTTGCTAAGAAGTGTGGCACTTCCTGTAACAACTTCATGGTTAGTATATAGAAAAAAGCACTGATCATGAGGACTAGGATCTTAAGTTGTTGTTTAAAAAAATAAAATAGAAGAGCTGCAACTCAGCTGTAATAATACAAATAATAATACTAGAAATAATAACAATAACAATAACAACAACAACATTTTTTATTATTTGTACCCTGCCCATCTGACTGGGTTGCCCATCATCTGCTTTGTGCACAGAAGGTCCCAGGTTCCCAGGCTGGGAAAAAGACCCCCGCCCACTACGTGAGTCTCAAATCCTGGAGACCTGCTGCCAGTCAGAGTAGGAAGTACTAGCCAAAAGTCCTGACTTGGGATAAGGTCAGTTCACATATTCCTAACACACCTTCCCCAAGCACAAGGAATGTAGGAAAAACCCTCACTCTCAGCACACAGGAAGAGTCTCTCTCTCTCTTTCTCTCTCTCACACCCCCCCCCCCCACTGCAATAAACATCATTCTGTTATCAGCTTGCGGAGCTTTAATATTAACAAGATTTAATTTAAAAAGTCAGCCACAATCAACACAGTGCACACCGCTGCTGTCTTGGCCTCTTGCACCGACCAGACCCTGGGACTCCTCTGGGGTGGAAGGGGGGTTCGTGGGGGGCTTCTTGGGGCTCCTGGAGCTACCTGCGGGCAGCATTCAGGCGGTCTTTCACCGCAATGGTGTGCCTGAGCAGACCCTCAATGCTCTTGAAATAAACGCTGCTGTCTTTCATGTTCTTGATGGCACTGGAAAAGAGAGAGAGAGTACTTGAGGCGGCATTATTATTATTTATTTTAATTTTGCTGTCAGAAAGTTATTCCTGATGTTTAGTTGGAATCTCCTTTCTTGTAACCTGAAGCCGTTGATCTGGATCCTCCCCTCTGGGGCAGCAGAAAGCAAGCTTGCTCCCTCCTCCATGTGGCAGCCCTTGAGATATTTGTGGGTGGCTTTCATATCTCCTCTCAGTCTCCTTTTTTCCAGGCTAAACATACCCAGCTCCCTCAACCGTTCCTCATCAGGCATAGAATTACAAGCCTGGTAGATGAAGGGAACGCAGTGGATGTAGCCTACCTTGATTTCAGCAAGGCATTTGACAAGGTGCCCCATGATATTCTTGTAAAGAAGCTGGTAAAATGCGGTCTTCACTATGCTACCACTCAGTGGATTCGTAACTGGCTGACTGACCGAACCCAAAGGGTGCTCATCAATGGTTCCTCTTCATCCTGGAGAAGAGTGACTAGTGGGGTGCCACAGGGTTCTGTCTTGGGCCAGGTCTTATTCAACATCTTTATCAACGACTTGGATGATGGACTCAAGGGCATCCTGATCAAATTTGCAGATGACACCAAACTGGGAGGGGTGGCTAACACCCCAGAGGACAGGATCACACTTCAAAACGACCTTGACAGATTAGAGAACTGGGCCAAAACAAACAAGATGAATTTTAACAGGGAGAAATGTAAAGTATTGCACTTGGGCAAAAAAAAGGAGAGGCACAAATACAAGATGGGTGACAGCTGGCTTGAGAGCAGTACATGTGAAAAGGATCTAGGAGTCTTGGTTGACCACAAACTTGACATGAGCCAACAGTGTGACGCGGCAGCTAAAAAAGCCAATGCAATTCTGGGCTGCATCAATAGGATTAGCATCTAGATCAATGGAAGTAATAGTGCCACTGTATTCTGCTCTGGTCAGACCTCACCTGGAGTACTGTGTCCAGTTCTGGGCACCACAGTTCAAGAAGGACACTGGCAAACTGGAACGTGTCCAGAGGAGGGCAACCAAAATGGTCAAAGGCCTGGAAACGATGCCTTATGAGGAACGGCTAAGGGAGCTGGGCATGTTTAGCCTGGAGAAGAGGAGGTTAAGGGGTGATATGATAGCCATGTTCAAATATATAAAAGGATGTCACATAGAGGAGGGAGAAAGGTTGTTTTCTGCTGCTCCAGAGAAGCGGACACGGAGCAATGGATCCAAACTACAAGAAAGAAGATTCCACCTAAACATTAGGAAGAACTTCCTGACAGTAAGAGCTGTTCTGACAGTGGAATTTGCTGCCAAGGAGTGTGGTGGAGTCTCCTTCTCTGGAGGTCTTTAAGCAGAGGCTTGACAACCATATGTCAGGAGTGCTCTGATGGTGTTTCCTGCTTGGCAGGGGGTTGGACTCGATGGCCCTTGGGGTCTATTCCAACTCTAGGATTCTATGATTCTATAGTTAGCAGATCTTGGCTGCCCTCCTCTCCACACTTCCAGCGTGTCAATATCCTTCTCAAATTGTGGAGCCCAGAACAGGACACAGGACTCCAGGTGGGACTGTGACACAGGACTCTGACCAAGGCAGAACAGAGTGGGACTAGAGCTTCCCTTCACAGGGTCACTAGACTTCTGAATTGCATGTCAAGTTCCTAGTTCTCATGGCTGCAATGAGATACCTGGAAGTCTGAATTCTAATTTTAAGCAGTGTGGATTTTGGTTTCAGTTTAGTACAGTTAGCCATGGAAATGGGGATCAATGCCGGAGGCTCTTTGCTGCCTTCCCCCCAACCGCAGCCCATCTATGGGCGCTTGGGAAGCCCCTTTGGGAAAGGGATGCAGCCCTGCAGGCTTCCCCCAAGTACCTGCAAGCGTACTCCACGGTGTAGATGGCCCCTTGACTTTGCTCCTCCCAGCTCTGCATGTCGGCCTGCAAGGAGGAAAGGTGACAGGGTGATGATCTCCAAGAAGCAACCTGGGTCTCCTCAGTTCTAGCTTGATGCACTAAACACTGCCACGCAGCACGTCCAGATACCAACCCTAGTGCTTTTGAGGTGGGGTGGGGGTTCTGGTCACAAACTGCCCAAGGAGAAAAGGCTGCAACGATCCTTGGGGGGTCTCTTCCAACTCTACAATTGCATGAGTCATTCAGAGGGGCAATGGGCAGCCTCCGACCTCTCCAAAATAAGGCTGGCCTGTTATGCTTAAGTATCTGAACTTATCTGCAAGAAAGTCCTGCAGAGGGACAGCAGATTTAGCCACAGAAGCCAAGGTACAGAGACACAATGGGTAACCTCCTTTGCAGAGAAAACAAACTCCTTAGGCAATCAAACATTTATTATATGGTCACAGCAGCACTTGAAATTTGCCAGGTGCATTTTGTACCTGGCTATCAGCCACTTGCAACCAAGTGAAGATGCCCAGGTGCCAGGATGGGGCCTGACGTCTCCCCCATCTGGACTGTTTTCACACACTAAGGCCCCATCCTGTAGAATTCTATCTGTTATATTTTATCCACACAATCAGAATAAATGTAAAGAATCAAAAAGTCGTATTGAAAAATACAACTTCAGAGCCAACCGCCCTCCAAATGGCTACAAGGCATTCTGCTTTGGCGACTGTAACCTTGGCTTAAGGAGCCATTTGGCGATGAGCTTATATATCTGAGTTTCTAACACTGGGTCACAGGTGCTGTACCAGGAAGATTTGGGCATCGCATGGCAGGACAGAGTCTCAAACCAAAATGTGCTTCCCCAAGCCCACATTCCCAGCTTGTTTGCACTCCTGTCTCAGGGATGTCTACTCTGGCTTGGCCACATGCACAGAATGGAAGATGGCAGGATCCCCAAGGAGGTGCTCTATGGGACCGTTGGCAGACTCTGTGTTACAAAGATGTCTGCAGTCAGGTTTGCATCCATAGCAGTGATCAGAGGAGGAGTGACTGTGCCAGGAGGAGCAGAGAGAGAAGAAATGCCCTGGTGCATCTGCAGCAGCACAAACAGACGCCTTCATCTGCCCCGGCTGCAATGCAGTATGTCTCTCCCGCATTGGTCTCAGGTGCTGCAACCTTCCAACAGCTGGACTTCACCCTCAAAGGTGCACTCCATTGCCTCCCGAGATAGACGGATGCCAACCCCAAAGGCCCATTAACTTCTTTTAAAAAAAACTAAAGGGGTGAATGAAAGGTAGCTGTGGCTTAATGCAAAACACACTCATGCCCCCCAAGTCCAGAAAATTCAAAAAATCTCAGACCGCCTCCCTTGGATGACTTGCATTAGCTTAAGCTGGCTAATGCTCAAGACAATGGAATTAACGGCACATTAAGGGGGCAGGGGAGGAACAAACAGCAGATCCCAGTCCCCAAAAGAGAGCTAAGGGGTGGGGGGAAACAGAGGGAGGAGGTTGCTTTCTTTAACTCGGAACTGGGGAATAACAAATCCCTCTCTCGCCAGGACAGCTTATCCATGAGATGTTGCCTAGTTGGAAAAGATGACTAAATCCTTGATGAATTTTTTCTTTTTTAAGGAAGAAAGACAGCAGGGTGACCTTCTCTATTTCGCTAGCATTCTCTTCCAAAACCCTGCTCTCCCTACGGCACCACTATTAATACAAGCCCCTAAATTAAACAAGGGACCTTTTAAATAAGTTTGGGAACAAGCAGCCTGGATAACATCTGCCCTCCCTGCTGTATTGACTCTCTATCCCTTTTCAAAATAACCGAAATACCCTCTCCTCCAACATCTCCCCCTCCCAGTAAGAACCAACCCCCTCCCTCCAGAGACTGATCTGCACACGTAGGACCTGGGAGGCCGAGGTTCAAATCCTCCCACTGGGCCAGGAAGCTGGCTGGGTGACTTTGGGGTCACTGCCCCTCAGCCTAGCCCACCTCGCAGGAGGGTTGTGAGGATTAGACAGGGGTGGGGCGGAGGAGAGACTCATGTTCACCACCAGCAGCTCCGGTAACCCAGTTATTTATGGAAAAATAAGCTTTATATGCGATGAAATGGTTTTGTCGTTTTCAGGAGTTTGCATGGATGGTTGTGTTGCTTTAGAGTTGGCTGATTTTCTTGTTTTCAGGGCTTGCATTTGTGCCCCCTGCTCTGTTTCTGTGCTGCGAAGGCTGGCTTCGCTGTATGAAGAAGCCCACAAATCTGTACCATAATGGCAACGATGACAACAACTGCCTACCTCACAGGGTTGTTGAGGGCTAAAATGGGGAGAGGGAGAACCACACACGCCGCCTAGAGCTTCTTGGAGGAAAGAGGGTGAGAAAGAAATGTAATCAATAAATACAAAATATAATGAGATGAGGGAAATGGCCCTCTCCTGATGGAGGGCAGGGTTGGCAATTCTGTAGTAGTAGTAGTAGTAGTAGTAGTAGTAGTAGTAGTTTTATAATTCTGACTGGATTGCTCCAGCCACTCTGGGCTGTTTCCAGCAAAATATAAAAGCACTATAAAACTTCAAACATTAACTGTGGGCTAGCACATGTTTCTACACTCATCCATCCTATCTGACTCTCTGCTGGAACACTGGGAGGTGACAACATTTGAAGGCTGGCAGGTTCTCTGATATAGGATTTTACTACAGTGGTACCTCTGGTTATGAACTTAATTCGTTCTGGAGGTCTGTTCTTAACCTGAAACTGTTCTTAACCTGAAGCACCACTTTAGCTAATGGGGCCTCCCACTGCCGCCGCTGCGCGATTTCTGTTCTCATCCTGAAGCAAAGTTCTTAACCTGAGGTACTACTTCCAGGTTAGCAGAGTCTGTAACCCGAAGTGTTTGTAACCTGAGGTACCACTGTACATTCATGGTACTGGGAGCTGTTAGGAGACCCATCTTCTCCCTCCCAGATCTACAATTCCCAAGAGCATTTAACACTCAATTCCTATTCCCTGGGAAGTGGAGCTTTGGGCTGTGTTCAAAACTCAGATATATGAGCCAGGCACCAAATGGCTCCTTGAACCAAGGTTGCAGTTGCCAGAAAGGAATGTCCAGTTGCCATTTTGAGGCAAGACAGCTCTAAAGTCTTATTTTTCAAATGACGGACGGACTGATTGATTCTCAGTTAAACATCTGGCTAGTTCAGAGGACAACCCTGAGCTTGGTTAAGAGCTTTGAGAACTTAAAAAAGAAAGTCACTTGATACAGAGACAGTCTACAGATCTATTGGCCTATTCCAACTTCTTTTTCTTAATGGTGACATGGACCACTCATAACATAGGAGTATTTTTCCCGACTGTAAGTTGGGGTAAGTGAAGACAAGCGACAGCAATTAATTATAACATTGTTCACCAGTCCTGCTCAGGCATTTGGCATTTTGGTTCCTGAAATTCATTCCAATTGTGCAGATAAAATAGAACTGATAGATTCTACAGGACTTTGTATTAGTGTGTGAAAACAGTCCCGATCCAATGATCCCCAGGCATGAACCTCCAGATGGTGGAGACATCAGGCGCCATCCATTTTGCTTTCCCCATATTTATTTACCTACTTAATTTATACATTTGCACCATATAAGCTAATCACCCGGTTGCAGAGGACCGACAGGTAAAAAATGCGCTTGGCGAATTGCAAATACTGGCTCTGAGAGGAATATAGGGGCCTCCCTATATTCAGCAACCCACAGGTCCCAGGATTCTTTGGAGAAAGGCAGGACTGTTTAAAACAGTGACCCCCAAAACCCCTAAAGTGGGGCAGGTTCAGCTAGCTGATCTGGTGCTGGTGAATCACAGAATTTGACGGGATCCCAAGGGCCACGTAGCCCAACCCCCTGCAATGCAGGGACCATGATTAAGCATGGTGCGCATTTGAGTTTTTTCACTCCTGGGTTCGAAGGTGGCATACCTTATGCTGGGCCAATTCCGGGAGGGAACGCCTGACGTGCTCCTGAAGCCGATACAGAGCCACAGAAGGTTCGTTGGCCAAGACATACATGCTCTCTGTAAACTTGTCTGTCACTAGGAAGAATGGGGAGATGTTAATTTTAATTGCAGCTTCATTGCCAAGCCAGGAAATCCTTTCCAGGCAGCTATCATCATCATCATCATCATCATCATCATCATCATCACTACTACTACTATTACCAGTGTTAGAAACTCAGATATATAACCTAATTACCAAATGATACATTAAACCTAGGCTGCGCTCACAAAAGAATGTCTAGGTGCCATTTTTTTTGCAATGGGGTCCCCCCCCCCATTTCTATAACACTTTGTATTTTAAAGGAAAAATCTTTGTATTTTAAAGGGAAAAAATCACAATGCGGTTGAGATGAAACAATCCATAATAAAAGAGATTCAGGCTTCCAGGAATTTTTTTCAGATCCTTCTCTAAGTGACATTTTGCTTTCTCCATATTTAGTTACCTCCTTAATTTATAGAGCTGCATCATTGCAGAGGGTCTAGCCAGTGGGGTGTAGCGGTGAGAGTGTTGGGCAAAGACCTGGGAGATCAGGGTTCAAATTCCCACTCCATTATGAAGCCCACTGGGTGACCTCTTCACCCACCTCACAGGGCCATTGCATTCAATGGGTCTAATGCAAGCCATTTCCAATGCAACACAACTGTGCCACCCCCACAATAACCACAGGTAGGAATGGCTATGACTCCGTTCCCCCCTACTACATACTATTGACATGAAGGGAATTACAACGTCGTAATATTAATACTAATGAAAGAATAATGTTGTTATTCTTTCTGTGGATTAAATATGATTTAATAATAATAATAATAATAATAATAATAATAAACAATAAAACATCGTTTCCCTGCTCATGCAGGACATTCCGGGGCTCCAGCGTGTCCAGGAGAGAAGGCGGCTTTCTGCCAGGGGAATGCTATCTGCACAGGCTCAGAGGCACTCTTGACGCATGGCGTTCAGTTTGAAGGCATGAGCTTGGAAAAGGAGGGGCTGGGGCCGCTTTCTAGCCGCTTCCCTAAAACAAACACACACATCTGGGCTGCGGCTTTGCGCTCCTGCGAATCATTGCGCGCCCCTCCCCCCTCCCCATTCCTGCCCGGACGCCTTTGGGCGCGACACCACCGGAAGTGGCTCCTCCGCCGCTACCTTTCTTCACTTTGAGCTGCATCTCCGGCTCCTCCATGATCCCGGGGAGAGCCCGAAGCGGCGGAGGGGAAAGCGGGCCGCGGCACCGGACAAGGAGGACAGCTGCCGGGCCACTTCCGACGGGCCGCGTGCAGCGCCGAAAGGGGAGCCGCTCGGAAACACCGTCCGGTGAGAAAGGTTCCCCCTGGGCGCTGTCGAGGGAAGTGAGGGGCGGACGGGGCTCGCCCATGGGGGAGAAGGGAAGCTCTGACCCCAACTCTCCACCGGGGGATCCCTTCGGGAGGAGAGCAGGCTCAGGAGTACTGGATATCCCCCAGAAATCCGGAATGGAGTCCCTAAGGGGGTTGGATGGCTTCACCCCTGGAGGCGCACTCCATTGTCTGTCGAGACAGACCAGCCATAAGGGCCTTGGAGGTCCCCTCCTGGCCGAATGCAGGAGTTTCCTCACTCTGGCCAGTAAATGCATGGCTGCTGAAAAGTGAGGCCAACAGGGTTCAATGGGGCTTACTCCCTAATAGGCGCCTTTAGAATTTCAGCTGGCCTTAGATTTGTCTGGCACAGAAACGGGTGCCTTTGCAAATGACCTCTCTTTCATTTTCCCCTTGAAAGTTTTCAAACTTTTCAAACTATAGGTCAGATGGATTACTCAGTTGGTTAGAGCGTGGCGCTGATAATGCCTAGGTTGCAAGTTCGAGCCCCATAAGGGACAGCTGCGTATCCCTGCATTGCGGGAGGTTGGACTAGATGATTCTGAGGGTCCCTTCCCATATCCTCCAACATTTCTCTGATGAAAAAAGGGACATCCTATTCCCTTAAAATAGTAATAATTTTATTATTTGTATCCCACCCATCTGACTGGGTTGCCCCAGCCACTCTGGGTGACTTCCAACATATATAAAAACAGAATTAAACATTAAACATTAACAAAAAAAACCCTATACAGGGCTGCCTTATATAGTTACCTTTCTCATTGGCTCAGGGGTTGCATAATTCCATACCCTTCAACATTTCTTCAGTGAAAATAGGGGCTTCCTAAGGAAAAGCGGGACATTCCAGGTTCATATGAGAAACCAGAACAGCTTCTGTACATCCGGGTTTGTCCCTGGAAAATAGGAATGCTTGGAGGGTCTGCCTTCCAGCTCTACAATTCTATGATTCTGTGATATGCCACTGAGTAGATCCACTAAAATGAATAGAAGTGACCAGTTTAGGTCCATTGCTTTCAGTGGGTCTAATTTTTGAGTAGGACTCAGTTCGATATAAGCCATTCCTTTCAATGGGTCTACTCTGGGTATGATTTAGACCATTGAGGTTCTACTCAGCGTAGACCCTCATGCTGGTTGAGGCTAATGGGAGTTGTAGTCCAAACCATCTGGGAGGCACTAGGGTGACAAAGGATGGAAGAGATTATCACTACAGCCTGCAGGGGGCTGGACCAGTTTAATATCTGCCTGCTGTTAAAACATGTAAAGCCTCTGGGTCATCTTCAGTGCTCATTGGTTCTGAGGATGACAGCTGTTAAAGTTTATGTGGAGTCTTTTAACTTTTTAAATTTTGTAGTATTTTGTAAAAAATAAAATATTTTTTTAAAACAGTTTTATAGGGTAATAAAAACAATATTTTATTGTTGTCAATTAGAAGCTGCTTTGGACGGGCGTTGGCTCAGAAGAGCGGTCTAATAAATACGTCAAATAAAGACAATGCATTAAAGCATAATCAAAACCAAATTTTCTGGAGGATTTTTAAAAAGAAAACAATTGAACGGCTGGCCCTTTAAACCGCCCTTTGGGGGAAGCGCTTCCTCTTAGTTAGTGGCCGGTGATTGGCGGAGCTGGAGGGCGGGGCGGAGGCTGAGCTGCGCCGCTCATTCATAACAATACCGGCTTCCGCAACCTCATTCAGAAGCTCTTAAAGGGCCAGGCCGCCGCCGCCGCCACCCCGCGGGAGCTGCTGCAAATGCATTGTGGGAAGAGAAAGTTACTTTCAGTTTTGCGCGGACGGGCAGAGAGAGCAAAGAGAGGCGAAGATGCGGCAAAGCGGATCTGGCGGCACCATGATCCTCAACCTTTTCTAAAGGGCTATGTGTAAACTTGACGTCATCGCCCTTCTAATGGGAGAGGCTGGTGAGTTTTTACGTCACATGTTGGAGGCAGGAAATCCCTCCAAGACTTGGCCCGGGGGTGACGTCAGAAGGGTTGTAAACAGATCAGAGTAGAGTTGGGCAGGGTATGTACATAATAATAATAATAATAATAATAATAATAATAATAATACTTGGTGGACCAGTGGCCTGACTGTCTATAAACTTTCCTTTGCTTTTACTTGGAACCATGAGGACTAGCGCCTCATCCTTAACCCCTGAGCTATGGCCCTTCCCACAGAATGCACAATTTGTCTGAAGACGGCCCCAGGTTCAGTCCTGGGCATCTGCTGGTGAGGTTGGGAATGCCCCCCACCTGACTCAGTACAAGGCAGCTTTCAGAAGAATAATGAGGACTAGAATCTTTTTAATTTTGAAGAAGTGGCAGAGCACCTTGCTTTGCATCCCTGGTGCGATGCCCAATGACACAGACGTGCCTGGATTCTGGAGAGCAGCTGCCAGTCAGGGTTGGCCAGAAGCAGGTCGACCAGTAGTCTGACTCTGTCTGAGGGCAGTTTCTTGTGTTCCTGTTTCTTTGCTGTGTCAAAGCTCTCAGGGTGCTGTAGACCTGCCGCCGCCATAGACACCTTCACAATTTCTCCAGAAGCTCCTGTCGCCGAAATGACCCACAATGCCCCCTCAAAGGACCCAGAGATGCCCGCCAGCGACCAGGAGGACGATCAGGCATCAGTCATCTTGCAGCTGTATCCATACTCAGAGGAGAAAGACGACCCGAACCAAGCTGTTCCGGCACCAAATGGCAAGTCTTCAAACCCGGTCGCCTCCCCTCAAAAAGGATATTTCATTTCATTTCACTTTCAATGTGTATACCTTTTAACTTGTTTAATTAGCCAAGGGCCTGGGAAAAGAGGAATGTTTTCCCCAGGTGCCTAGAGATATGTAACGAAGGCGCCAGGCGAGCCTCCCTGGGGAGAGCATCCCACATATAGGGAGCCACCGCAGAAAAGGCCCCGTTCTTGTGTGGCCACCCTCTGGACTTTTCACAGTGGAGGCACATGTGGAAGGGCCTCAGGTGGTGATTGCCGGGTCCAGGTTGGTTCACATGGAGAGAAGCGGTCCTTGAAAAATGAAGGTTCCAGGTTTAACATCTTTTGTCTTTCTTCAAAAATGCAGATGGAAGCAGTCTGAAGCTGGCGACCACCCTGACCAACCGGCAGCGTGGCAACGAGGCATCTGCCTTGCCGGCCACTCTGGACAGTGAGTTGTTGTGCCACAAAACATTTTTGCTTTTCATTAGCTGGGGAATGGGGGGAGGGGGCTGTGAATCAGTTGAAGCCAAGGTGGCTGCAATTCTCCCCCATTTATACATTTTTTCCCTGTTGCTCTAGAGGTCTAGCCCCTTGTTAAGATCAGCCAAAGTTCATGATCCTGTTGTGCTGCTTTTCCTCTGAACTGACTTCCCAAACCACTTGGTAAACTGACGGGCTATACACTTTTGTTGTTGTTCAAGAGGACTAGCGCCTTGAAGGGGGAAATCAATTTGTTTTTTGTTAAAAATCAGTCAAGGTTCAGGATTAGCTGAGTTGGTAGAGCACAGGTATCTTAATTGCAGGGTTGTGGGTTCTATAATTCTGTTGGGCTGCTTTCTCTCTTAATCGACTTCCCAATGGTCTCTAACACCCACCAAGCCGTTCCTTTTCCCTTCATGAACAGAGGGCTCAAGAGCAAATCTGCCCTCCACTCCTCAGGCCATTTTATTCTATTTATTTTTAAAGGCATTAATCCAAAAGTCAAGTTTCCATCCCTCATGATTGCCAGTGAATAACATTTCTAGCGATCATGAAAGGCGTCTGCTTCCCTCCTCCCTCTGAGGATTAATTATGCAAAGACAAGAATGGTTTGAATACCATTGCATATTTTATAGAACAGGACAATCATTTTGCAAAAACTGGCTTGGAATTTGGGTTCTGTGCAGCCTCTTACTGTAAGACTGCATTCTATTCCCTATTTCAGTTCTCAATGAAATCCTGTTTGTTTGTTTTTTACTTTTCCAGCTCTTTCTATTCATCAGTTGGCAGCCCAGGGAGAACTGGTCCTATTGAAAGAAAATCTGAGGAAAGGTGAGATAGGAACACCCAGCCCCCCTCCACCCGCTTCTGACTTCCTGCCCACTAACTAGAGTGTGCCTCACAGGGTTGGTTTATTTATTTAAGGTGTTTTTAAAACATTTATTTTATTTAATCATTTGACAGCTATTTACAACGATCAGCAAAATTCTCCTCCAGGCAAGGTTATTCCAAATCATTATTCTGCAACACTTAACATATCAGTGCAATATTTCTTCTTTCAAATAACCCTCCTCAAAACCTACTTGAATTTGACTAGATTCTTTCTCTATGATAGGCGACATAGTTCTGAGGGATACTGGATCTGAGGGAACTTCGTATTTCAATACTGAGGACATTCATCTACCACAGAGGTTCCCAAACTTCTTTGGGCTCCCCCCCCTTCAGAAAAAAAAATACTTAGTGCCCCCCAGGAAAACTACTTTCTTTAAGTGAAGAAACAGAAAGATGCCATGACAAATTTGTGTTCTTTTAGGGATCTTTATTTCTACCTACATTCTGCAATATAGTGAAGAAATATGTTGCTGTAAATAAGACACCTTGAAGCTTAAGATTATAAAATTATTCATTAAAATCAACCATAGTAACATTCATATTATACACAGAAAATTAAGATAACGATAATATGAAAATAAAAATTATGTTGTCATTGTCCTGCAACAGCGTCTGGCCTGGCAGTAAGTGTTATTACACAACAGATGAAACACGTTTTTTCCAATTTTTATTCTCTTCTTTTTTATGCTTCCACTGCCCTCTTGGTTTTATTAATTACCGCCCCCCCCCATCACACTGCTTAAATCATGGGTAGGCAAACTAAGGCCCGGGGGCCGGATCTGGCCCAATCGCCTTCTAAATCCGGCCCATGGATACTCTGGGAATCAGCGTGTTTTTACATGAGTAGAATGTGTCCTTTTATTTAAAATTCATCTCTGAATTATTTGTGGGGCCTGCCTGGTATTTTTACATGAGTAGAATGTGTGCTTTCATTTAAAATGCATCTCTCGGTTTTTTGTGGGGCATAGGAATTTGTTCATCCCCCCCCCCCCAAATCTAGTCCAGCCCCCTACAAGGTCTAAGGGAAAGTGGACCGGCCCCCTGCTGAAAAAGTTTGCTGACCCCTGAATAAATCATTAGGCATTCCAGCCAGTGTGCAGGAAAATCACAAAAATTAAAAACAAACCGTGCAGAGAATGAGAGAAATCTGTTGTAAAACCAAATGCTGCCATGAAATGATTTAATTCACTTAGCTGGGAAAGACCGTTGTGCAGCCTACATGAAGACCCCTGAACTTTCCTACCCCTGTGTCAATCAGCTCCCTAATTTTGGAAATGTTGACAGGCGAGAACCTTTTGAACAAGCCCGATGAACGGGGCTTCACGCCGCTGATGTGGGCAGCGGCCTTCGGAGAGATTGAGACAATTCGCAGTATGCTGGAATGGGTAAGGAACGTGCGGTGGGGAGGGAGAAGCGCAGGGGTCACCCGCATTTTCCCTGCCGTGGCTGCAGCCCTGTGTGCCCTCTCTCCCCAGGGCGCAGACCCCCACGTCCTTGCCAAGGAGAGGGAGAGCGCCCTGTCTCTTGCCAGCATGGGGGGCTACACGGACATCGTCACCTTGCTCCTGGAGAAGGATGTGGACATCAACACTTACGACTGGGTAACTTTTGCATCGGTGGGTGGAAGGGGGGCAGGTATGGCCCTGCCGACCTGAATCAGCTTTCGGCAGGCCCCACATTCATAGAACCATAGGATTGTAGAGTTGGAAGGGGCCACCAAGGGTCATCTAGTCCAACCCCCTGCAAGGCAGGAATCTCAGCTCAAGCATCCAGGACAGGTGGCCGTCCAACCTCTGTTGAAAATCTCCAAGGAAGGAGAGGCCACCACCTTCCATCCCATGGTCGAACAGCTCTTACTGTCAGAAGTTCTTGCTAAATGTCTTCCTTGAAGCCATGGGTTCGAGTCCTGCCCTCCAGAGCAGGAGAAAACAAGCTTGTTCCCTCTGACAGCCCTTGAGATATTTGAAGATTGCTGTCATATCTCCTCTTTTCCAGGCTAAACATCCCCAGCTCCTGTGTGGGGTGTGTGGGTGTTTTTTCCTCCTTGTGCTGATGCTTTTCGGTTGTCTCCACAGAACGGTGGGACCCCTCTCCTCTATGCCGTGCGCGGGAACCACGTCAAATGCATTGAGGCCTTGCTAGGTAAGTGGTGTCGGGGGAAGGTGCTTCCATACCTGAGCGACAATCTCATTTTTCGATGGAGAAGCCAAGCTTGCCTTCCTTCGGCCACAGCTGAGAACGAGGGGGTCAACCAATGGGGCCTTCCCCCCGAGCGATAATAACGTGGGTCCATTAATTTCAGCAGGTCTACTGCGAGGAGGGTGGTGCTGTGGGTTAAACCACAGAGCCTAGGACTTGCCGATCAGAAGGTCGGTGGTTTGAATTCCAGCGACGGGGTGAGCTTCCGTTGCTCAGTCCCTGCTCCTGCCAACCTAGCAATTCGAAAGCACGTCAAAGTGCAAGTAGATAAATAGGTACCGCTCCAGCGGGAAGGTAAACGGCATTTCCGTGCGCTGCTCTGGTTCGCCAGAAGCGGCTTAGTCCCGCTGGCCACATGACCTGGAAGCTGTACGCCGGCTCCCTCGGCCAGTAAAGCGAGATGAGCGCCGCAACCCCAGAGTCGTCCGCGACTGGACCTAATGGTCAGGGGTCCCTTTACCTCTACTGCGAGTGCAGTAGTTTGCTGCCAGCTCTTTGTAAGTCCATGGAAGCATTTTTGGGTTTTGCCACAATGCCTCTGCTGGCTTTTCGGAGTTGCCACGAAGCTCCCTGTTTTGCCTGCAATGGACTTTGATGTGGCGAAATATGCTATAGGGCATATTTCTCTCTTGGTGGCAACTTAAACATCTCTGAGGCAGTGTGGTGCAGTGGTTAGGGCCATGGTTCTCCCAACTTTTTCCTCTGGGCCACACTTTCAGAACGAAAATTTGTTCGTGCCGGTCTGGATTTTTTTATCGATAAGAAATACATTGGAAAACGGAAAGAAACGACTCTTAGCAGTGCTTGATTTAAGGCTGGTATCATCCGCATACTGGTGAACACCCAGCCCAAGCCCAGATTAAATGTATTCCCATCTGAAGCCCTAAATGGCAGACTGACTGGTAGATCATATCTAAATAGACTCTGCCTGTGTTCTCACGCTGTTTGTTGTATGAAACATATCTTGGGTTATGATTATTGTTGTTGTTTAGTCGTTCAGTCATGTCCGACTCTTTGTGACCCCCTGGACCAGAGCACGCCAGGCACTCCTGTCTTCCACTGCCTCCCGCAGTTTGGTCAAACTCATGCTGGTAGCTTCAAGAACACTGCCCAACCATCTAGTCCTCTGTCGTCCCCTTCTCCTTGTGCCCTCCATCTTTCCCAACATCAGGGTCTTTTCCAGGGAGTCTTCTCTTCTCATGAGGTGGCCAAAGTCTTGGAGTCTCAGCTTCAGGATCTGTCCTTCCAGTGAGCACTCAGGGCTGATTTCCTTAAGAATGGATAGGTTTGATCTTCTTGCAGTCCATGGGACTCTCCAGAGTCTCCTCCAGCACCAGAATTCAAAAGCATCCATTCTTCGGCGATCAGCCTTCTTTATGGTCCAGCTCTCACTTCCATACATCACTACTGGGAAAACCAGAGCTTGAACTATACGGACCTTTGTTGGCAAAGTGATGTCTCTGCTTTTTAAGATATTGCCCTTAAATCCTTGAGGCAGAGACTATGGGATATTTCATACAGTGATCACATGCAACCTGTGGACATCTCTTACTACATTGTGGGCTGCATAAACAAGGCAGGAACCAGTTAATTAAACCCTTATCGACAAACTTGCCTGGAAATCCTGAAACCTTCTATCTCAAGTATCGCCTTGAGGCAAATGATATTGCCCTGGCCGTGGCAAAATTTCTCTCTGGGGCAATATGAAATAGAAACCAACACACTCTGGATAAAGCACAATGGCTGCCTAGGAATGTATTTCTGCTGTATTTGCTTTTGAAATTGCTTTTGTGGGTCTTTGGACTTTAATAAAGAATGTGTGTGTAAAGTTAAAAAAAGAAGAACATAGCACTAAAATAAAATACATAAAATATTTGTCTCCCCTCCCTCTTCTCAGCCCACGGTGCTGATCTCACAACCGAGGCAGATTCAGGATACACCCCGATGGACCTGGCAGTCGCTCTGGGACACAAGAAAGGTGGGTTCGGAAACATGGGAGGGGTCAGAGGGTCCCACGTCAAGGGGCCGTGGTGCTCATGAGGGCCTTCCGCTTGTGGGGGGCTTCCCGTTGGAGCATCCAGGAGACTGGGCAAGGTGGGGGTCCCCTTTGACCTCATCCAAGCCTTCTTATAAAAGGTAAAGGGACCCCTGACCATTTAGGTCCAGCAGCGGACTACTCTGGGGTTGTGGGGCTCATCTCGCTTTATTGGCCGAGGGACCCGGCGTACAGCTTCCGGGTCATGTGGCCAGCAGGACTAAGCCGCTTCTGGCAAACCAGAGCAGCGCACGGAAACGCCGTTTACCTTCCCGCTGGAGTGGTACCTATTTATCTACTTGCACTTTGACGTGCTTTCGAACTGCTAGGTGGGCAGGAGCAGGGACCGAGCAATGGGAGCTCACCCCGTTTCAGGGATTCGAACCGCTGACCTTCTGATCGGCAAGTCCTAGGCTCTGTGGTTTAACCCACAGCGCCACCCGCGTCCCCCAAGCCTCCTTAGTTTCTTCCAATTCCTCAATGGAGCCTCCATGGCCAGAGCCACTACCTTAGAACGGCGGAGAACCTCCAAGAGTGGGTTGGGAAAGCATTTTGGGGCTTGCATGCTCGCGAGGAGGCCTTCTATCGCCCTCACCCACACACCAAGCGTGTAAAAGAGGCAGCGGGGCGTAGTGGTTAGAGAGTGGGACAAGGACCTGGGAGAAACAGGGCTCAAATCCACTGGCCATGAAGCTCGCTGGCTGGTGACCTTGGGGGCCACTCACGGCCTCTCCCAGCCTGACCTACCTGGCAGGGTTGTTGTGTGAGGATTAAATGTGGTGGCAGAGGAGAGAAACATGGTCACCACTTTGAGGGAAATGAAAGTGTATATAAACGCAAGGAATGCTGATGTCTGTTTTGACCTGTTTTTAGTTTAAACCAGTGTCTCCCATACTTGGGTCTCCAGCTGTTTTTGGACTGCAGTTCCCATCCCAAAACAGCTGGAGACCCAAGCTTGGGAAACCCTGGTTTAAAGCATTCCAAAGATATCATCAGCAAGAGTTGTTTTTCCGCTTTATTGTCTTTATTCTTTTAAGCTGCTTGTAAAACCACTTTGAGGGACGCAGGTGGCGCTGTGGGTTAAACCACAGAGCCTAGGACTTGCCAATCAGAAGGTCGGCGGTTCGAATCCCAGCAGCGGGGTGAGCTCCCATTGCTCAGTCCCTGCTCCTGCCCACCTAGCAGTTCGAAAGCACGTCAAAGTGCAAGTAGATAAAGAGGTACCGCTCCAGCGGGAAGGTAAATGGTGTTTCAGTGCGCTGCTCTGGTTCGCCAGAAGCGGCTTGGTCATGCTGGCCACATGACCCAGAAGCTGTACGCCGGCTCCCTTGGCCAGTAAAGCGAGATGAGCGCCACAACCCCAGAGTCGGCCATGACTGGACCTAATGGTCAAGCGTCCCTTTACCTTTTTAAAACCACTTTGAGGGGACTTAAGGGGAAAAATCAAGCAGTGCATAAATTTAATGACATAAATAAATATGTTGAAATTCTTTTTTAAAAGAAATAAATCAACAGGTGCATAAATTTAATGAAGTAGATAAATGTAAACTGGAATTCTGTATATATATATTTTTAAAAAACACCAAGTCAATCAATTCATTCTTTGCTTTCCCTCTCCCTTCCCTAGTGCAACACGTGATGGAAAAACATATCCTCAAGTTGTTGCGGAGCAAAGAACCTGAGTGAAACAGGAACTTCTTGTCAGACTGGTGGGGGAAGGACCTTCTCCCTGCCCCCCACCATTTTTCTCTCTGCTTTGAAGGTGGAATCAAAGGAAAGCCTTCTGCACTGAGCGGCTGATCTGAGGCACATGAGACAGGGTTGGATATTTGAGAGTCACTGGGCTTTAAAAAGTTCGCTACAGCCCTTGTGGAAAGAGGGGGCAGTGGAGGGGTTAGGTTTGATGGCAAGACACGACCCCCCCCAACCTGCTTGCTGCCATCAGCTTACTATTTTTTATTTATTTATTGAATTTTTATACCGCCCTATACCCGGAGGTCTCATTTATCAACCTGATGACCACTAAGCACCACAACTATTCTGGAACCCCTGAAATCCAGACTCCAGCCAGAGGAGAAGTTTCCGGAGGCAAAGGAACTCCAGGTGGCTCGCAGAAGCAAGCCAAGCTGCAAATCAGAAGGCACTTGATGTTTTCCCCGCTGCCGTTTGCAAACTGTTCTGAGCTGGGATGCGTGCGATGGGAGAGAGAATTTTGCAGATTCCCGAACTAAAAAAAAAGTACTACGTACCATACTTTTAAAATTTGAAATGGCAACAACTGAACACCCCCCCATTAATGGAAGAAACTATTCTGTCCCTAGAATACTTGCTGAAACTGCTAAGCAGCTGACCCTGCTACACTGTGCTTGTCTTAAACAGCAGGCTTGCTTATTTCCGCTCGCCTAGGGCGAACCAGGACTCCAGGGGAGCAGCTGTGAGAGCTTTCTTTTTAAATAAAGGAATGAATATCTCGGCATAAAAATACAAAATAAATTATTGTTCACTATTCGTTATATGTCTTTACCACCCTACGTCTGAGGATCATACAGCAGTTTACAGTATAAAAACACAAAAATATATAACAAAGAAAGCAGTAAGTCTGTCCTCCCACAAACATCTAAAATCAGCCTGGTTCTAAGGAAAAGCTTTTGCCTGGCTCCTAAAGATACGTAATGAAGGGGTCAGGTGAGCCTCCCTGGGGAGAGCATCCCACAAATGGGGAGCCACCACCGAAAAAGGCCCTGTTCTCATGTTGCCACAAAGAAAGGCCTCAGGGGATGATCTCAGGGTCAGTTCGTATGGGGAGAGGTGGCCCTTGAGGTGTTGCAGTCCTGAACCGCCTTCTGGACCGTTGGACCCTCTCTTGGTCTCTGTCACTCCATCCCCCGGAGCCTGACTGCACCTGCAGGGGAAGCTCCTGACTCCCGAAGGGTTTGAGGTCCATCGGCTCCTGTCAGGGAACTGCCATCGGACGGAAGGGAGGTGAAAGGGCTCACACAGGTTGGGAGAGACGCAGCAGCTGAAGAGGAAACCAACAGGGAGGTGAAAGGGCTCACACAGGTTGGGAGAGACGCAGCAGCTGATGAGGGAACCAGCAGGGGGAGAGGAGCTGAGCTGGAGGGATGGCTCAGAGACACTTCCAGCGAAAACAGTGGAGAGGTTTCAGGACCTCCTGTAAGAACACCCACTCCTCGCCGGAAACTGTCACGCAGAGATTCCAGAAGACGTGTTTCCGTTAAGGAGCTTTTATGTTGGAAGCGATTACGAAAGCAACCACTGTCGGAATCTGCTAGTGACTAGAGTAGCCATGTCTGAGGGGCTCTGTCACAGACAGAGGTTTGTGGACTTGAACAAACTCTGAGGGGATACGATTTTACGCACAAGCAGCTCATCATCCCATCACAGCATTCCGACAGTCTTTGAAAGCAGCTTGTGCAGGAGAAGGTATCATGAGCAACCCAGCCGGAACCGGAGAAGCAGGAGCTGGAGCGGGTCCAAGCCTGGAAGAAAGGTACCAGATGTTGGAGGTCCAGCTAGCGATGCAGACGGCGAGGCTTGGAGGAGAGGAGGGCTCAGGATGCAGACAAAAGGGGAAAGCCACCCAGTTCGCCAGAAAGGTACCAGGATTGGTGCAGAAGTTTGGGGGAGCCCAAAACTATCATGGTTTTCGGACAGAAATGCAATATGCCCTCAATCTGCAGTTTGATGAATTCCTGACGAGGAATCACGAGTGGCTTTCGTGATTGAGCATCTTGAAAAGGGGGCGAGAGACTGGGTTAGACCCCTGATGGCAGCGAATAGTGACGTCTTAAAAGACACGATGAAGTTCTTTCGCGCCATGGATCTGATGTTTTCCAGCGATATTGAAAAGGGAGTGGTGCGCAGACAGTTAATGGGTTGCAAACAGGGGAGCCGATCTGTCCGTGAGTACTGGACTGAGTTCACCATGCTTGTTCACAGATTGGGGTGGGACTTATCGGCGGAACCCATTCAAATGCTCTTTGAAGAAGGGCTTTCTTCGGCTGTGAAAGACGAACTTTCCCGGGCGCCCAGGGCGGAGTCTATGGACCAGCTGACCAAATCAGCGCTGGCCATAGGAGCGCGCCAGGAGGCGAGAGCATTGGAGAGGCGGGAAGGGAAAGGGGAACGTTGGAAGGAGTTCCGCATTCCAGACATTCCAGAGCCAACTTTCCCACCGGCAGAGCCGATGGAAATCGGAACAGCGCGCGCGCGCAGTTTCAAAGCCCAGTGAGGGGGCAAAGAAGGAGGGAAAAGGCGCCCGGAAATGCTATCTCTGCCAACAGCCAGGTCACTTTGCCAGAGTCTGCCCCCAGAGGAAAGAATGGCAAGGGATGGTAGGGGCTGTGGATGGAAGAGAGGAAAATATACCGGAGCAAGTAAAGCCAACGCCTGGCTGCCACTGTCAGGGCACAGCAGCCAGGCCAAAGAGCAGTGAGAGTGCCCACGCCAGAACCTCCTAAACCCGCCCTAGTGATAGAAGTGACGCTAGAGCTGCCAAACGGACACCCTCTAAAGATAAAGGCGCTGTTGGACTCAGGCAGCTCCTGCAATTTCATGAGCAAAGAGTTTGCAGCTGAACACCAGATACAGACAATCCTTTAAGCAGCCCCCTGCAGGTGACCACGATCGATGGCAGGGAGCTGTTGGGTGGAGAAGTCAGCTTGCAGACCGTCCCAATGATAATGAAGGTAGCAAGGCACACCGAACTGATAGCTTTTAATGTGGCCACCTTGGGAGGAGCTCCCATTATATTGGGGATGAGCTGGCTAGCGTTACATGATCCGCTGGTGGGCTGGCATCAGAGAGTGGTTTCTTTTGGTTCAGCACATTGCTTAGAACACTGCAAAGAGGGAAAGGGTTTGGCAGGGGTCCAAGCCACCCTAGCAGGGACTGAAGTAACAGAGAACGTGAAGGTACCACGACAATATGCAGATCTCCGTGACGTCTTCAGCGAAAGGGAAGCTGACCAACTACCCCCGCATAGACCCTTTGACTGTCAAATCAACTTACTCCCTGGAGCACAGCTCCCTGTAGGCAAGCTGTACGCCATGTCAGACAGAGAGATGCAGGAGTTAAGAGAGTTCATTGACAAGAACCTGAAGAGAGGGTTCATCAGAGAGTCCAGGGCGGTGGGGGCAGCCCAGTGTTTTTGTGGATAAGAAAACACGAACAAGCCGAGGCTGGTGTGTGACTTCAGGGCCTTAAATGCAGTGTCAGAACCAGTAGCCTTCCCTATGCCCAGGATTGACGACATTTTGACAAGGGTGCGGAAGGGAAAGATTTTTACAAAGCTGGACCTAAGGGGGGCGTACAACCTGGTACGAATAAGGAAGGGGGATGAATGGAAAACCACTATGTTCACCCCTTTAGGGGCATTTGAATATTTGGTTATGCCCTTCGGCCTCCAAGCAGGCTCCGCAACCTTTCAATCGTTTATGAACCACGTCCTGGGGCCTTTGCTTTACAAGAATTGTGTGGCCTTTTAGACGACGTGTTGGTGTATTCTGAGAATGAGGAGCAGCATGTGAGAGACGTCAGAGAAGTGTTGAGCAGGCTGCAAGCCAACCAGCTGTGGGTGAAACTGGAGAAGTGTCAGTTTCATACCAAGGAGGTGGAATTCCTGGGGTATCGCCTGTCAGACAAGGGATTGGCCATGGATCCCGGCAAGGTCCAGGCTGTGCTGGAATGGAAAGCACCCAAAACAAAGAAGGATGTGCAGAGGTTCCTAGGATTTGGGAACTTCTATCGTAAGTTCATCCGAAACTTTGCCCACCTGACGGCGCCCATTACGGACTGTCTCAGCAGTAAGAAGAAGTTCGTGTGGACTGAGGAGGCGGAGCGAGCATTTGAGGAACTAAAAGGGCCTTCGCCTCGGAACAACAACTCCTGCATGTGGATTTACAAAACCGATGAGAGTGGAAACTGACGCATCAGACAGAGCGATTGGGGCGGTGCTTCTGCAGCCAGGCAAGAAGGGGTCAGAGTGGAGACCGTGTGCCTTTTTTCGCGAAAGCTGAACAAATCCGAGAGGAACTACACGGTGTATGACCGAGAACTACTAGCCATTCATGAGGCGTTCCGGAGATGGAGGCACCTGCTAATTGGCGCACAACATAAGGTGCAAGTGTGCACTGACCACAAGAACCTAGAGTATTGGAGGACGGCACGAGTGCTCAACCAACGGCAAGTGAGATGGGCCCAGGAGTTCTCCAAATTTAACTTTGAGATTAGTTACGTGCCAGGCCCAGAGAACATTAGGGCGGACGCTCTCTCACGCAAACCTGAATATTTGGAGGGGAGGGGGCACCCGAAGAGAGACATGTCATTCCAGAAGACCGCTGGGTGTGTGGGGCGGCATTGGTGGGACAAAGAGAACTGGTAGAGGAAACAGAGAATGATGAATACGCCCAGAATAAGCTCAGAGGTCTTAGGGGTGATGGAGAGGAACCAGGGGGTTTCGAGGAAAGAAATGGAGCTTTGTATTACAAAGGGGCACTGTATATCCCTGAAGGAGAGTTAAGGGGAGGGTACTCAAGCAGTTGCACGACAGCCCTACGGCGGGGCATTTTGGACAACACAAAACCATGTGGTTGGTCACCAGGGAATTTTGGTGGCCTAAGGTGAGGGAAGATGTACGTGAGTATGTAAGAGGGTGCGAGCAATGCCAGCGAGCCAAAGGGGAAAGGCGGGCGCCGGCGGGGCTATTAGAACCCTTACCAACCCCAGAACGACCTTGGGAGGCAGTGTCGATAGATTTTATGACTGATCTGCCGAAGTCCAAAGGGAAAACAGCCATCATGGTGGTGGTAGACCTACTAACAAAGATGTGCCACTTTGTAGCTTGCTCGCATGCAGTCACGGCGGAAGAGACAGCGAAGTTATTTGTAGAAAACATTTTTAGGTTGCACGGGGTGCCATTGAGGGTGGTCTCAGACCGAGGAAAACAATTTACTTCCAGGTTCTGGAGGAAGCTCATGAGCTTACTGCAGGTGGAGGTCAATTTTTCGACTGCCCGGCACCCTGAAACCAACGGGCAGGCGGAAAGAGCAAACGGTGTCCTCCAGCAATACCTGAGGTGTTATGTCAATGACAGAGAGAATGACTGGGTAGAAAAGTTGGCGCTGGCGGAATTTGCCTACAACAATGCCGAGAATGTGTCCACAGGGATGAGCCCCTTCTTGGCTAATTATGGGTGTCATCCCAGGGCTTTCCCAGGGGGAGAGGGGGAGAGATGGAGCGTCCCGGCAGCCGAGCATTTTGTGGAAGAAATGGAAGCAATCCATCGTCAGCTCCAACTCAACTTAGAAAGGGCGAAGGAAGAATACAAGAGGCAGGCAGACAAGAACCGAAGGGAAGGTGAAACCATAAGGGTGGGAGATAGGGTGTGGCTGTCAACCCAAGGGCTGCCGCTCAAAGGAGGTTGTAAGAAATTAAGACCCAGGAGGTTGGGTCCCTTTGAGGTCATTCAACAGGTCAACCCAGTGGCTTTCAGGCTCCGGTTACCCAACCACATGAAACTGCACCCAGTATTTCACAGGTCGTTACTGTCACCGTACGAAGGGGGACGAGAAGGGCTGGCCACTCGGGACCGGTCGTAGAAGAAAGAGAATGCAGCAGCCATGTGGCAGAAATCCTCGACGCCAGGTGGAAGGGGGATCAGGTGGAGTATTTGGTAGCGTGGGAAGGAGAACCGGAGTCAGAAAACACTTGGGTAATGGCTGAAGATATCAATGACGAGGTATTGATAGAAACGTTCCATCAAAGGTTCCCAAGGAAACCTCAGCCTGTAGAGAGGTTCCGGAGGGAATACTTTGGGACCACTGATGAAGGGGAGGAGTTGGAAGGATTCCCGGACTCGGAAGGGGAAGGGGAGATGGACTCTGAGGAGGAGGTGTACTTCGAGACCAGGAACCGCAACAGGTTGAGAGAAGTGTTCGAGACATCGGAAGATGAAGGAAGTTCATTCCGGGTTTTGCCTCCTCACCGCCCGTAGAGGAGGGGGCGAGAGGGGGTGAAGGGGGCCCTGGAGGGGAGGTGGATGTCAGGGAACTGCCATCGGACGGAAGGGAGGTGAAAGGGCTCACACAGGTTGGGAGAGACGCAGCAGCTGAAGAGGAAACCAACAGGGAGGTGAAAGGGCTCACACAGGTTGGGAGAGACGCAGCAGCTGATGAGGGAACCAGCAGGGGGAGAGGAGCTGAGCTGGAGGGATGGCTCAGAGACACTTCCAGCGAAAACAGTGGAGAGGTTTCAGGACCTCCTGTAAGAACACCCACTCCTCGCCGGAAACTGTCACGCAGAGATTCCAGAAGACGTGTTTCCGTTAAGGAGCTTTTATGTTGGAAGCGATTACGAAAGCAACCACTGTCGGAATCTGCTAGTGACTAGAGTAGCCATGTCTGAGGGGCTCTGTCACAGACAGAGGTTTGTGGACTTGAACAAACTCTGAGGGGATACGATTTTACGCACAAGCAGCTCATCATCCCATCAC